GAAAAACACAATACAATACAACGCTAGCTGACGTTTCAGCAGTATCGCCTTCTTCAGAGCCTGGGAGGGCATACTGATATACAATCTACTAGGCCAAACGCTTCAATAACACTTACAAAAAGACGAAAGACTCTTTGATAATCACATAATCAACAATTCCTCGAAAAACCCACCGCTTTTTCGTGACTTCCAATGAGGAAGTTTAGAACAGCTGATTATAGTCGCATGTGGTTGACGACTGCACCATCCCACATCAGAAATTGATGCGAACATACGGGTTCAGGTCGCATGTGACCTCTGGGCATTCATCCCTGCTATTCATTGTAGGGTTTTTGGCATTGATCCAAAAAGCCTCAAAGAGTTTTCGCGCTGGTGTTTTGGACTCCTGAGCAAGGATATTGACTTTTACTTCAAAATCGTCTCCGCTATGCTTTTGTATCCTATGCGTGCCTAGTGGGGTGCTTCGTCTTAGTTTTCGTTTGCCATCTAGGTGTTCTTTTATGCGGATACACAAAGGTCTGGCCATTTCGCCAATATATTCATTTCTGCAATTATTACAAGAGATCAGGTATACCGTACCTGAACTCATGCAATCACCGTCCCTGCCGTAAGGGCAAATTACGCAATTTACTGTTTCACACAGGCGGTCATACAGGCGGTTACGAACTAATTGACGACGTAGAGTAGCCAGTGGTATTTTAACTATCGCTACCGATTCCTCTAAACTTGCCCTTCTTAGGCATCGTTTTATAGCTACGCTTACTTCATCGCTTATAAAAGGCAACGTAAACGGGACTTTCTTTTGGCCAAGTGTTTCGCGAGGAGGCGTCGTCCTCCTTCTAAACTTATCTCGTGGGGTTACATTTCGTAGCCATTGGAGATGGCTATTTACCGAGCCAAGTCGCGCGATTCTTCCTTTAGTTCCCTGGTAGTGCACATAGAGGTGGCTGTTCGAAACATGTTTCTCACAATCGCTCTCTTTGTGTGTGAGGGCGGGAAGAAAGGAAATGAACGAGAATGTTCTTTTTAGTTGGCTTACGGTACCACTTTGTCAAGTAACCGCTACTTGAAGTAAAAGTCAATATCCTTGCACAGGAGACTAAAACACCAGCGCGAAAACTTCTTGAGGCTTTTTGNATTTCGTAGCCATTGGAGATGGCTATTTACCGAGCCAAGTCGCGCGATTCTTCCTTTAGTTCCCTGGTAGTGCACATAGAGGTGGCTGTTCGAAACATGTTTCTCACAATCGCCCTCTTTGTGTGTGAAGGGTGGGAAGAAAGGAAATGAACAAGGATGTTCTTGTTACTTGGCTTTCGATACCACTTTGTCAGGTAACCGCTACTTGATAGGTTTATTGGAACGTCTAAAAACTGAAGCCAGTTTTTTCTCGGTTTCTCACAAAAAAAGACATACATATAAAACATAACGCACGACATGAATTACTTGGCAAGCATCCATGTGCAATAAACCAAAGTTGACGTAACGTATTGCACCCAGCACACCTTTTCAATGGTTCAGCTTAGGGCCGATTTGGCTTCGCAGAACACTCCCGTTAACTGGCGATTGCTGGTAGCACCGAAAAGGTAAAAAAAGACTGAGAAAAAGACAAAGGTGAGCGTAGCTATCGAAGAGATATGAGTAGTATATAATGCTGAGATATTTGCAAAACACCGGACCGCAGGTGTATGCGGTGGGAAACGAACGCGCGCCATTGTCCTTACCGGAGAGTAGCGCACTTCACCACCACACCATCCGGGTCCTTCGTCTTGCCTGTTTCTCAGCTAGTTCTATCGATCTTTTGCCATCAGCAATCACCCTTCAACGTTAGTTTGAGGTGGTCTACAGCTCGTGCGATACCACGCTGACGCATGAGATCGGGTCTTTCTGGATACAGACGTCTCTTGGTGACTTTCGAACTCTCATCTTTCATAGCGCTAACGTGAAGATGTTGAATAAGCCGATCGTATTCCTCGTCGATGTTATCGACAACGGCATCTTCCGAACAACCGACTAATGAATTGATTAAGTCCTAGTTTATGGTGGTTCTGGAACTACGGTTTTTGAATTTAGCGGCTTTTTCTCCTTTCTGCGAAAAATAGAATCTTACACGAAGGAGACGATGGTCTGATCTCGTGTAGAATTTTAAGCAACAGCGACATCTGTTAGGCAAAACCTTCTGTTTACTATGAAGTGGTTTATTTCTTTATGGTGCTCCCCATTGGGAGACTCCCACGTCCAGCACTGAGGGTGGAGCTTCTGCAATTGCGAGTTACCATGGATTGTCTTGGTCGCCATAATAAACTCAGAGAGCCGCTCACCCTGTTTGTACCATTCTAATCCGTGGGTCCCAATGTGACGCTCTTCAGACGTTCTTCTCGGTCCAATCTTTGCGTTGAAATCTCCAATGATGACCTTGAAAAAAGTGTGTTCTTCTCTGTAGAACTTCTCCAAGTCCATATAGAACGCTTCGGCTTCTTTTTGTCGTTGTTTAATGTCGGAGCGTAAACGACGAAGATTGCAAAGCCGGAATGGATCGGCCTCTTTTTAATCGTAAACGTCCAATTCGAGTTGTAAGTTGTTCGAATGAATCGATGTTCATGGACAAACTCGAGTTGATGAGAACGACGACGCCTCCGTCGCCTCTACTGTCGCATGTTCCAAGGAACAGTTTTGAGAATTTCGACGCTCTTCATGTCTTTCATACCAGGCGAGGGACCTATAGAGAACTTCCCCTTGAAAAGTTCTCTATCTATCTAAATAACAGTATTTGAAACCCAAATATGGCCGCCTCGCACTCGCACATCAAACACCGCAATGTAACCTTTTCTAATCTTCTCGATCAATTATGTTCAATGTTTCAGGCACAATAGCGATTCAGGTTTGACTTCAGTAGCATAGCGACGATGACTTATCCGAAGGAGGCGTAACAGTGGAACAGTTTACTACTTCCTTGCGAAACAACGAAGCTAATGACGTTTGATGTTTCAGGCAGTTAGGTACAGTCTATTGCGGTCCAGGATCAACAATCCAGATTAACCGCGGTTGCATACGCACGCGGTTCCCGCAGCCGATATAAGCCAGGTGCCTTCGACGGCTAATATTCTACATCAATCTGAACCACTACACTTCGCCGCTAACCATTTCGTCACAGGACCGCCGTAAAGAATAACCACAGAGGAACTGTGATAATGATGACGTCCATTCGAGCTACTGCGTTAATAATTTAATTCGAAGTGGTAGAAAAAAAAAAGAAAATTACTACATTCTATTACATTCGATTACATTAGGAAAGAACATCCAACATATCTGGAAAAATTATTATAAGTCTGGTAGCAACAATCATCACCATTATCATCACTATCATCATCATTACCACCATCAATCTTCTTCTTCTTCTTCCTTTTCTTCTTTCTTTTCCTCTTCCTATTCTTCCTATTCTTCCCCCTCTTCCTCTTCCTCTTTCTGGCCACCATGAATGTTCGAATGAAACGCCTTGATGAGTTCGTGCATAGCATGAAGACTGTTGAGAATCAGTTGAGCGTGAATTTTACCATTAATGTGTTACAATATTCTACGATATTCTAATTATATCTAATCAGGAGGGTTTTATTAGTTTGACAGAGACATTTATGAATTTTATGAGGCTATTTCCTACAGGAACATCGTGAGCTTATGCAGTGGGTGAATACAACGCCCAGTGATGACATGTGAGCAGTTGCCACGAGTCGGCATTAAGCGCTTAGCACTGTGACGGCGTCACGACGAATATAACTTTGAGGTTGGACTTAATTGATTTTTCGCTTGATACTTGAATGGCCCATATTCGCAGGTTATGTGGGCTTCAGCATAATTTCCATTTTTCGGAGTTTTGTTGGTTAAGTCATCGTTTTCCTCTGGAGTTCCGAGGTTAGCCAAGCCAAAGTTCTCCCCAGCTCGTCTGCTCCACACGCAGTAGCAGGGCTTGTGGATCAGAGGGAGACTTGCCATCGTGGCGACTAGTTTCATACCAGGACGATAGCGGATTCTAGCATGAGTTTACTCTTAGCAGCGCTTCCTGATCGCAACTCCTCCTCAGCCAAGGAGGCTCTTCCTTGCGGATAAATCCGAGCGTTGTACATCACAGCCCAACATCGACGAATACCTCCGAGCCACAATGAAGCGGTAAGCTGTCGGAAGGTATCTGAGGTTAGAAGGCAGAAAACTCGAAATCAAATTTCAGCTGGAACATCTCTTAATAACTCGAAAGACCGACTTTCTATGAACCTCGGCATAAATATATCAAATTTCAGCATTGCTAAATTTGGCTTCGGTAAAGATTCATATATGAGTTAGTTCATTTCAGAGAGGATTTGCGTGATGCACACGACGTGTATGAATGGGCTGCATGTGCAGAAGAGTAACTGGAATGGCTTGCCGGTTAACTGCCATCGGCACGGAGTCAAGAATGCGGTGACGGTTTGCAGTGTTCATAAATTTCTAAAAAGCACGCAACATTTCAGAAGAAGTTGAATCAATGAAATTAACTAAAAGTAATTGAAAAATAATTGAAATAGACAAGAAATAAAAAATTAATGGAAAATTGGTAAACATAGGAAATAAGAACTGACATAACAAATAAAAATAGTATTAAAAATAAAATAAAAAAATGAATAAAAAATCGACAAACAAAAATAGTTATAAATAGCATAAAAATAAATAAAAAATGAAAGTATACTAAACATAAATTAAAAATAAGTTCCAAAGAATTAAAAAATAAAAGCTGAAAGGATATAGGCCTCAGCGTTGATCAATGCCTGAGGGACGCGCCATGCGTTCGATTTCATTAAGTATCGTTGGAGGTGATTGCGTATCTGGCCTTCACAATGGCTCGCAGTGGCCTACCGATGTACCGAGTCAGTGCTGTTATCCACCCAGACAAGTCTGGTAGCAATTAGCCGACCCTAGAGAGATAGAAGGGTTGGTGAGCCATGGGAGCATAGATCCATTCCACGTGTGTGTCGCAGTGGCGCCTCCAACCACTGCGCCACACGCGCCCTAATCGTTCGGTAACAATTACAAATTAATGAAAATAAATAAATAGCAATTTTATATAAAAATTTTAAATAATTCTGAATTTTTCTGCAGAATTTTGGACAAAACTTCCCTTTCCATTTCAATAAAACCAGGTAGTGACACAGATTAGCGCTCGTCAAGCGGAATTGGAGACTGCGTACAGTGAACTTGTCAAGGAATCCAATAGAAGAGGTACAAAACTCGTTAGAATGAGCAAGTTATTAGACAGAGATTCATAAGATATGCAGTTAAATTGATAGACAATGGTGACCACGCAACTTTTTCTTTTAGAAATGCGTCCTGGATAAGAGTAAAGAAATCGCCGTTGATGAGAATCATCACGATTGCCAACTGCTCTAATATGCGCCGAGCTAGACCAAAGTTTGGTGGTGGAGCTCATCAACAACGCGCCATTTTCACTGTGACCCGTTCTTTACAAGCCATCCGCTCACTGACGGGATTGTCATTACCGTTTCTACTTGACACAATTAACAGTAACTTCTGCAGTTCAATGCCATTTGCTATAGTAAGTGTTCCCAAAAATATTTTCTATGTTGTCGTATGTTTCCTATGTATACGTAGCAGTAAAATTTACTGGCAACCACATCTTTATTCTCACTCTGTGCAAATAGCTACTTAGCCACCATCCCATGGACCTACATTTGCTTTTCGAATGTGCATTCCGTATAATCTTCTGAATCGCAGTCTTATGAACTTTATGGAAACACGGCTTTGTAGAATTTCATCGAAATGAACAATTGTTTTAGCACTTCACAGTCCGCTGCACTCGAATGTGTTGTTTAACGCACTTGACTTCAAAATTTGCTGAAACACAGTTTTCTTTGCAATTCTTTAATGGGAGGGATCACGACTCAGAAGCAATAGAGAGATGGAACGGCCTTTCTCCTGCCCGCCACAACAACACCATCAACCGTGCAACGGAACATTTTGACAGTGTGCCAAATTTGAGACAGCTACGGGGTTAGTCCAGCGAATGGTTTGTGAAGTGATCACCAGAGAATGAGAAAGACAACAAATCTATACTATGTCGGGATCCGCACAACCAGTAAAGATGGACCGTCAAAGCGTCCAAGTGATTCCCCACACCGAGCAGCCATTGACCTCAGCACTGATTGATAATTCGCTGTTTTTCTTCAATAAGCAGACACGAGGTAGGTATTATAAAATTTGTCAGCATACAATAGCCGACATTTCGCCGGTTTCGCTTTCTTCAGAGCCTGGAAAGGTCAAACTGACATGCGATCTACCAAGTCAAACACTTTCATAACCTTAGCAGATAAAGCAACAGATAAATTTGCATTCGCATAATAAACACCTTATTTTTAACACTCACCGTTTATTCGTTGTAAGCATTCCAACTAGTTGGTGGATAGCAGGCCGTACAGTGTAGTATAAGGACGAAGAATGTGGCTGGGTCAGGCCACCGAATCGGCCTGAGGTATGGCGCGAGGTCACGCATGATGACAGGACACTCCTCCTTGCGGCCCATTTTTGGATTTTTGGAACTAATCCAAAATGCTTCAAGAGTTTTACGCGCTCAAGTTTTTGATTCTTGCGTGAGAATAGTGACTCCTTCTTCAAAATCTTCTCTGTGTTCTAGAAAATCTAACGGAGTGTTTGATTTTAATACAGATTTACCGACCAGGTGTTCTTTTATGCGGATGCAGAGCGGTCTACCCGTTTCACCAAAGTATTCGTCCCCACACGCTTTGCAAGAGAGCAGATAGACTGTACCTGAACTCATGCAATCACCCTCTCTACAGTTAGGGCAAATTATGAAGATTTTCGTTAAACATAGGCGGTCATGTAGGCGGTTGCGAACTAGCTGGCGTCGTAGAGTGTCCGATGGTATTTCTATCACTCTTACGGAATTCTCTAAACCGGCCTTATTAAACAACGTTTTGCAGTTGCACTCGTCTTTTTCGAAATGAAGGGTAAGAGGAACGGAGTCTTCTTTTTGCTAGAATTATCGTTCTGGGGCGTGGTTTTTAGTCCACGCACATGCCGAGAAGCGACGGTTTCGTAGCCATTCGAAATGGCTCCTTGGCGCGCCTTAAGAATACTTCTTTGTGCTATACCTGTGCTCACGCCGGTGGCAGTTCGCAACATATTTCTTGTAAGCGCTCTTTTGGTGTTTGAAGGATGAAAAGAGAGGTAATGAACAACTATATCCCAACCACTTTTTTTCGACACCATTTTATAATATAGCCGTTTTCGGATAGGCTAATTTAAACGTTCAAAAATGCAAGGCAGTTTTCTTTCGCTTCCTCTCAAGTGAATTTTATGTACTCTTGTACTTTATCTCCTTTTGTGTGGAGCATATGAGAAAACAGCCATCTATATACCTACATTAGAGTAATGGCCTGAGATCGATTACTGCTGCTTCCACCGTAGACATAAAGGCAACGGCAAGCGTTGGTGCCAGTCGCTGTCCCATTCCTCACCCTCTAATTTGTGCGTAATATTTTCCGGACCATCTGAAGATCGAGCAGTTTAGGCAGACCTTCAAGAGGACGATGAAGTGCTGAATCGAGAAGCCGTAAATGTTTATTGCCTCTTCTTGTTGCTCAAGAAGCTCGCGGATGGCTTGAATTGCGAAGCCATTCGACACGTTAGTGTAAAGGGCGGTAACGTCGAACGACTCCATAACGTAAGCGCTTTTGATACGTGCGTTACGCGGACGATATAGAAACATTTGCGTGTTCGTGTGATGGGCTGGTATGTGCCTAAGCAACTGCTTGATAATTAGATTTATAAACCAAGCAATTCTATCCGTAGGCTCGTCTACACAACTGATGATGGGTCTAACTTTAAAGGTGGAGGGGTCGGTAGACGCCAGATTATCAGGAGATACCAACTTATGAGTTTTGATAACTACAAGACGAAACATGTCGGCACTTCGACCTTATGATGCAAAATGTCTGATGGCTTTAAGCCTGCTGAGTCTGCCAATTTGACCCATTCGTTGTTCCATTTTCGATGTTGACTTTTGAATTCCTTTTCAGTTGACGCGCGAGATAAAGAGATGCGTGTTTAAGATGTTTTCCCGCTCTCTCAACATTTAACTAGTTAGGAATTACTACAAACTCTCCACCGTTATTGCTAACTGTTAGTCTAATAGTCTTCGATTTTATTAGCTCTCGAACCTGTCGCATGCCAACTTTTGGCGCCACTATAAGGTTAGGACTAAGCTTTCTCAAGAGATACTGATTGAGGACTTTGAGAGCTTAATTCGGAAATATACGACTCTTACCTACTTCGTCGTGAGAGTCTTTCTGTCCAAAGAACGATCGAGGAAAGGGAGGTGGTGGTAATGCGCCAGCTTTTCCTTCTTTCTTTTTACTTCGTGTTTCAGTTCTAACGTTGCCGCGGTCTCCAACTTGAAGCTCGTACAAACTGCACGCGATCCTACTCGAGTTCTCTTTAATTTTTTACTATTTTTAATATTAAAATAATAGCCCAACTTGTCGAAAATCCCATGAATTGTTCGATTTCGACTATTCCAAATCGCACGTAGACATTGCAGTTTTTTTGTCTAACAAAATACAACATATATATATGTGTAAATACAACAACATAATATATAATGTAAGTATAACAACAAAACACAACCGCAGCGATTTATTACAAGGAATAGTGGACAGTTCTTCCTAAAGACCACGAAACCTGATAACACTTCCTTGTGATAGCAATTTCGCCTTAGTAAGTGTTTGGGCCTTCGACTTTGCCTATTCATTGTTCAGATCTGTCCCATACATTACAACGCAATCAGTAAACGAATAGATATTTTTTTTACTTCATATTTTATACTTTTCTCAGAGGCCTCCTAAAGAGCCACCACAGCAGAATACTGGAAGCGCAAGTCGATCTTGAAATCTTGTGCAGTCTCTCGCACAAGACGTTGCAATGGCAATTTGCGAATCAACACATTCGTTGATTTCTGATAGCGACGAATCAGCTGCAGGGCTACCGTTGCAGGATGATAGCGATGCGGGTTCTTCACACCACCAGTCGCCAGTGCCGATTTTTGAGCTGTCTTGGTGGCCAGCTGCTTCCACGGTGCCTTCCTTCCAGTCGACTTGCGAGCGGTCTGCTTGGTACGAGCCATAGAAGATCGATTGCTGTTAAGCGATCCTGAGGAGCCCGTGTGGCGCAGTGGTCGGAGGTGCCCTGCAACACACACGTGGAACTGATCCCCGCGCCCAACCAGACCTGGGAGTATAGCAGCACTGGCTCGATACATCACCAGGCCACCGCCTATCATTGTGAAGATCAGACATGCATTCAATCACTTCCAAACGATGCTTAATGAAGTAGAATGTATGGCGCATCCCTCGAGAACTGATAAACGCCGAGAGCTTTATCCTTTTTATCCTCTTATTTCATAGTTATTTTTTTGGATGATTGAGCTCGTGGGGCGTAGTGGTCGGAGGCACCTTGGAACACACACATGGGATCGATCCTCGCGCCTCTAGACCACCAAGCCTTCCATCTCTCCGGGGTCGGCAAATTTGTGCTTCCATTCCACTGGAATCGACTCGGTGAGACAACGTGTATCAACATTGCGACGACGGCCAGCTTGGAGACCAGTGATTCGGATTAACGCGGCTCCGAGGGAGGTGAATGCGCCGGAACGTTAGCCGAATGAAAACATCATGTTGGCACATTCATGTAAAAGTTATTGATTATTGTCACTGAGATCTAATGATAGTCGTTGAGGAATATATTGGGGAAACGGGTAGAGCTCTTTGTGTCCGCTTAAAAGTACATCCACATGGGAAATTCAAAATTCGTCAAAGCGCTCCTCTAGCTATACATAAGACACAGGATCACAATGGCGATGATTTTGGAGACTGTCCGGATCCTAGTGCAGCAGTTAAAAACATCATCTCGCACGACTCTCGAGGAGTTTTGGATAAACTTCAAAAATCCAAAGATTAACCGGAAAGACGAATGCCTCCCTATCACATAAGACCTGGCGCCTTATTTCAAAATGATATTTTTACCCTAGGTGGGTGACGATCACCGTCCCACGTGAACAACACGCGGGCACTCACACGTGTTACATCACGGTGAGTAGCTTTTGCGTTTATTTGAAAGTTTGGTTCATTAATACTATATATATTTCACCGAACATAAGACTACTGTTACAAAAATACGTCTAGACTCTGAGGAAAGCGAAATCGCCGAAACGGCGGCCATCGACCAACAACACCAGTAGCAACGACAAGAAGAACAGCAAGGAAGGCCTATACCAGCCTCCCATCAGCTCAAAAAGATGAGTTGTAAGATCGTATGAATACATATAATGATAGTAACTTCCACGACCGACTTTCTATTAACCTCGGCATTGATTAAGTAATTTTCTTCGTATTTTTGTTGAGCAAACGCGACGTGTTATTATTCTTTGTTCACGATTATGCTGACGTTTCGGCGGATTTCGCCTTCCTTAGAGCCTGGAAAGGTCAAGTTGATAGCAATCCACTCGGCCAGACGCCTCCATAACTAAACAAAGAAACTCCAAACCAAGATTTCAATCACTTCCAACACAGCTTTGCACACTCACCGCTTCCTATGAGATTTCCACTAAGTATGTCACGTAGAGACCAACCGCGCAGAAATCACGTAGTAGTATAATGTGCCCCTCACATCAGAATAGCAGTCTTATATACTGCCCTATATCACGCGTGATAATGAGGCATTCTTCCCTGCGGTTCATTTTCGGATTTCTGGAATTAATCCAGAGCGCCTCGAGAGTTTTTCGCGCCTGTGTTCTTGATTCGCGTGCGAGGAACGTGACACATCGAAGTCGTCCTCGTTATGCCTCTGGGTCCTATGCGTGCCTAGCGGGGTATTTGGTCTATTTTTGCCGGCTAGGTGTTCTTTCATGCGGACA